AAAAACAATATCTTGAAAAAATTTCCGAGAGTAATTTCCTGAAAAATTTAAATCCTAAGGCTCACTACAAACCACCTCTTTGCATTATATGATATACTAATTCCCTTTTTGTTTTGCTCCTCCTGCAGGCGAAGAGCGACGAGCAGCTGGCCACCGAGAGGGCGTGGCTGGACGCGGAGAAGCTGTGGCTGGTGCACCGCAAGGGCTTCACGGCGGCGCAGGGCGGGCAGCGCGCCCAGGGCCAGGACGACGATGACGCGAACAGGCTGCACGTGCGCGTCGAGGCCACCCAGGAGGTGCTCACCGTGGACGACGATGACGTCGAGAGGGTGAGTAGGCCAATAACTTGTTCCGGCCGTATAAGCTAGGACCGAGGTTTCCTTCACTACAAATTCTAGTGAACACCGATTTTTCTGTTTTTCTGGTTTTATTTTCAGATTTTTTCATGTTTTTTTTCCTGATTTTTCGTGATTTTTTTCGAAGGGTGTACACTGATTTTTTTGCGTGAAGGACCCCTCGGCTAGGACAGCTCATGAACTTTGACCTCTCCCTCTCCGCAGGCGAACCCGCCCCAGTTCGACCGCTGCGAGGACCTGGCGCAGCTGCGCTACCTCAACGAGTCCTCGGCCCTGCACACGCTGCGCCAGCGCTACGCCAGCAACCTGGTGCACACGTACGCCGGGCCGGCGCTGCTCGCCGTCAACCCGATGGTGCCGCTGGCCATCTACAGCGAGAAGGTGGCGCACATGTTCCGCGGCTGCAAGCCCGAGGACATGCCCCCGCACATCTACGCCGCCGCGCAGGCCGCCTACCGCGGCGCGCTCGCCTCGCGCCGCGACCACTCGCTCGTCTTCCAGGGCCGCTCCGGCTCGGGCAAGACGTGCAACTTCAGGCACGCCCTGCACTACCTGGTGCTGGCCGCCGGATCTGTCAACAAGGTCAGCGCTCATCCAACACCTTGCAACTTTTGAACACACATCCTTCCTACTCGAAATTTTAAAGGGAGAAGTAGTCTATTCCTCTAAATTAATTTATTACTTTTTTGTACTACAGGTCCTTACGCCCGAAAAGTTGAGCTCCGTGTGGACACTGCTTGAGGCGTTCGGCAACGCCCGAACGGCCATCAACGCGAACGCCACCCGGTTCACGCAGATCTTCTCGCTGGACCTGGACCAGTCGGGACAGATCGCCTCGGCCTCGCTCCAGCTGCTGCTGGCGGAGCGCTGGCGCGTGGCGCGCCGCCCCGCCGGCGAGTCCAACTTCCACGTCCTCTACCGCCTGCTGGCGGGCGCCGAGGGCGCGCTGCGCCGCGAGCTGCAGCTCGACGCCGTCTACGGCGCCGACGCCAACGCGTTCGTGACGCCGCTGCAGAAGGTGGAGGAGAAGCAGAAGGCCGAGCTCGAGTTCTCGCGCGTCTGCTCGGCCATGAGCCTGCTGGGCGTCTCGGACGCCGAGCAGCGCGTCGTCTGGTCCGTGCTGGCGGCCATCTACCACCTGGGCTTCGCGGGCGCCGTCAAAGGTAAAGGCATCCCGACGGAGCAGTGTTTGAAGAAACGATGGTGATTTTACGCGAAACAAATTTTCCCTTTCATTCTGAATGAACTGGATCAAAACAGTACTGTGAATTGATGGTGACACTTTTACAATCACTAGATATGTAAAACTACTCGTATGATACACTTTTTAAAGTTTAAAAAAATTACCAAAATACAATTAAAGTCCACCACTGCTTCATAGCAAAATTGTCGGTGATTTCCTGTGAATTTGCGTAAAGTCAGTTAGGTCTTTTGTTTGCGTTCTCCAACTCACCTCCCATTCTCTTGTTGCAGCCGACAAAAGCCAGCGCTGGCAGTTCGCGAGCCCACAGGCCGCCGCTCGGGCGGCGCTGCTGCTGGGCGTGCCCGTCGAGGAGCTGGCGCGCGCGCTGTTCGGCTCGTCGGGCGGCTCGGGGACCACATCCACGCCCCAGTCGGGCAGCCCGTCGAGCGGCCCCGGCGCCCCCGGGGGCCGCGGCTCGTACCGGACGCCCTCGCCGTCGCCGTCGGAGCGCAGCGTGTCGCTGGGTCTCGACCGCGGCGAGCTGACCGGCGTCGAGGCGCTCGAGGGCTTCGTCGTCGGCCTGTACGCCGAGGTGTTCGGCGCCGTGGGCGCACTCATCAACCGCAGCCTGAGCTCGCAGAGCAACACGGTGGTGTCGCTGCTGCTGCTCGACTGCCCCGGACTGCAGAACCCGGCCTCGTGTGGCAACCAGGTGGGCGCCACCTTCTACGACCTGTGCCACAACTACCTGGCCGAGCGGCTGCAGCTGCTGTTCCACCACGCCGAGCTGGTGACGCCGCGCGACCGCTACAGCCAGGAGGGCATCGAGTGCGACGTGGGCGAGGCTGACGCCGACGGCGACCTGGACGGCTCGACGGCGCCGCTCGTGGCCATGATCGACCGGCCGCCGGCGGGCGCGGGCATGATGCGCAGCTCGCAGACGGACCTGAGGCGCGGCGCCGGCGGCCCCGAGGCGGAGCGCCGCGGCCTGCTCTGGCTGCTGGAGGAGGAGGCCAACCAGCTGGGCGCCAGCGACGGCTCCTTCGTCGACCGCCTCTTCTCGCACTACAGCGACCGCGACCACCAAGTGCTGCTGCGCAAGGCGCCCGGCAGCAACCAGTTCGTGCTGCAGCACCTGCAGGGCACCAGCCCCGTGCTCTACTCGGCCAACGGCTGGCTCAAGAGCTCGCGCGAGAACCCCACGACCCGGGCGGCCGGCGCGCTGCTGCAGGAGAGCAGCAAGGAGGACACGAGCAAGCTGTTCGTCAGCTGCCGCGGCACGGGCATCTCGTCCACGCTGGGCGGCTCCGTCGTGTGCGGCTCCGCGGGGCTCGGCGGCGAGTCGGGCGGCACCCTGAGGAGGGCGTCCAGCATCCGCCGCACGCTCAACGCCGGCACCGCCGCCATCAAGCGCAAGTCCGTCGCCCTGCAGGTCAAGTTCACCGTGGTGAGTGTTCGTCTGAGGTGTCCACCCCATGACTATAAATTTAGTCGTTCACCGGTTTTTATATTCTTAGTTGATTTCAATTGATTTGAAAGGATCTCTCAAAGTTTTT